AATCTCCAAACACAACTGAAAGCCCAAGACTCAGTTGCTATCCCTACCCACAATGAATGCAGTCTCCTATGAAGTTTAAAATCCCATGGTTCCTTCTTTTGGATATGGTGTACCCTGAGTGCTATCTCTAACTGTACCTTCCCATCACTAGGATTTTAATGCTGCTTTTAAGTTACTCAAATGGCTAATTTGAGTAATTTTCTGATTATTAGATTCATGGAGTTGAATCACAATTCCATATCCTTCTTCACCTTGGAATTCTCGCTTCCTGAAGAGAAACACCATATAAACCAGCTAAATACAACTGCGAACTTGGCATCTTCAGAATTCTGATCTCAAAAGAATACCCACTTCATAACTGAAAATCTCAGGCATGCTCTTTGCTCCAAAAATTGATGTCAAAATTGACAAAATATAAAGAATAGATACCAACTTTTATTCGGAATAAATATAAGAATAGAAATTATCTTTCATCATCTCTTATGTTTATCAAAATCTCACTGTGATAAATGCTAGTTTTCTGCTCAGAAGCTTAAAATCCTTTATTTTTAAAACCAATACAGCAATTTACAAGTTCGGTATAGCCTTAAAAATGTATATTACATTAATGGTACATTTCTGAAAAAGCTCTATTAGAGTCACAGACTTATCTGAATGTTTACAGAAAAAAATATCTTGGAACAATTTAATCTTTATTAAGTATATAAAAAAGTGTCTTGGAAGCCAGGTGGTGGTGGCACACGTCTTTAATCTCAGCAGTTGGGAGGCAGAACTAGGTGGATCTCTGTGAGTTCGAGGCCAGCCTGGGCTACTGAGTGAGTTCCAGGAAAGGCGCAAAGCTACACAGAGAAACTCTGTCTCAAAAAACAAAACAAACAAACAAATAAAACTATCTTGGATACCCAGCTAAATAATATAATCAAGTATGAGATAAGATGCATTTTAATACTTCCACTGTGCCATATCTGTGTGAATGTGTAACTGTGGTAATGTTTGTAATAAGTATTACTACATATTACAAACAAAAAGGCCAAATGTTTGGCATAATCATGGATAAAAATACATAAAATACATATTGAGAATTTTTTAATGGACTCATAGGAAGAGCCAAATACTTAATTGTTTTAACAAAGACATTCTAGTTGGTTATATTTCTAGATATACCAAAGTTAATTCTCTACATTAAAAACATTATATATCCATTTGAAGTCTTAGGCTCTAAGTTAAGTTTTCAACACTATGCACTAACAAAATGGGTGTTGTAGCCCCTTTCAGATCTGGACAAGTAGGGACAAACAAAGCAGTAACTGTTTTTTGGTACCTTTGACTGAAAATCCTGTGGATAACAATTATATGAATGAAAACATTAGAAAAAATAGTCATAAAGTTGATATGATTTAGTTGGGAGCTCAAATGAATTATATGAATGAAAACATTAGAAAAAATAGTCATAAAGTTGATATGATTTAGTTGGGAGCTCAAAGGTTGGATGACTAATTTAAAGACACAAAAGTATGAGGGAATAAATTAATGATCTATGTTTTGAAACTCCATGTTCACTTATGAATGCTATTGAGCTTTCTGAATGATAAATCTAGTTTTACAGATACAAAAGATCTGTATTACCAAGATGTTTTGAGTCATAAGAACTTAGAGAACTAGTCACCATTTGACTTCTAACAATTAGTTATTTGAAAACATGTCATTTTGTTGAATATATTATTCATATTGGAATCATGATTTACTTAAAAATGCAGAAGTCATTTATTTCCCTGGGATAAATGTCAGAAAAATAAACAGTTTTGATGAGTCAGCAAGAAAAAGAAGTACATTTTATTTATTTACTTATGTTATGTACATTGGGGTTTTGCCTGCATGTGTGTCTGTCTATGAGGGTGTTAGATCCTCTGGAACTGGAGTTACAAATAGTTGTGAACTGCCATGTGTGGGTGCTGGAAATTGAAGTGGGTCCTTTGGAAGAGCAGTCAGTGCTCTTAACCACTGAGCCATCTCTCTAGCCCCAAGAAATTATTTTAAATGCAGCAGTAAGATACAATTTATTTTGCTGCTGATACTATGCTTAGACCTCTTGCTATTCACATGCATCTCATTTGATCCCTGAAGAAACTGTGTGAATTTGTTTGCAAGATGCCATTTGCCAGTTTTATAAAACTGATAACAGACAAGTATTTCACCATGGGTTCTTTAGTCATTGTGAAACAGAGCTAAAGTTTAAATATAGATCTTCCAATAACACACGAAAATAAGTAGGAAGGGATTACTCATCTGGTATGTAAATGTATGCATGAGAGATAACAGAAAGGAAAGACTTAGGGACTAGGGAGATGGTTCATCATCTAAAAGTGACTGTTATGCACACATGAGGATGTGAGTTTGAATCCTCAGAACCTACTTTAAAAACTGGACATGACTCTGCTGCCTGTAACTCCAGCACTCGAGAGCAGATTCAGGCATATCTTGCAAGCTCGTTAACCTGACAGCCTAGCCAAAACAATAAACTTCTGACTCAGCCAGAGACACAGTCTCACAGCAGGAAGGTAGAGAGCAATAGAGGGAGAAAACAAAAGCCCAGCTCTGCTGCTGCAAGGGCAACCACTGTGCTTGCACACAGTCACACACGTGTATACTACACACACACACACACACACAACACGGCACAGGCACACACACAAATAGTTTACAGATAGAGTGATGTACAATCACATCTAAGGTTGTTTTAAAATAGATGATATAAAATACCTAAGTGTATTTTAAACTCTGAAAACAAAAACCAAAACAGATTTCCTGGTGAATAAAAAAAACTCTACTGGACACATGATTGGTGTGGGAATTCATTCCATTCAACCAATGACATTTGGGATATCTGACAAAAAGGGCGTGGTCTTGTCTGCATATGTAACCACTTTAAAGGAGAGAGAGAGGGCTGGCTTGCTCTCTCTCTCTCTCTCTCTCTCTCTCTCTCTCTCTCTCTCTCTCTCTCTCTCTCTCATTTAAAGGACCAGGTCAGGCAGCTCAGGGGAACTTGCAGTTGGTTCTCATTCCCCTTGGGCAGAACAGGAGACAGGGACAGCTGAATAAGTGACAGTGTTTATTTCGTTCTGTATCCGTGAGTGTATTATTCCCATTTTATATCTTTATAAATTTTATATCTTTATAATTCTTGAGATTCTTTAACAGACTCTTGTGGGTTCACATAACACATGACACGTGAAATTTTCTTATGTTCATTTTGTAACTAATTGCTTTAGAAGCTACAAGTTTGAGAACAGGACTAGTATAACAGCCACAGTCTGTTCCAAATCAACATCCACTAAGACTCCTGGCATAGGATCTCTACACTGTCTGAAGCATAAACATCTGAAAAATTACTTTTTTCCTTCCCATACATTCTAAAAGTTCTTCTGTGTGTCACGTATATATGTATGCAAATGAGCCTTTAGCCTCATTCTCAGATAACATCATTAAGAGTTCAGCCACAGTAATCCCATTAACACGGCTGAGGTAAATGAGCAAAACAATGATTGGGCCTCATTGTTTAACCAGGATGTTGATTTTCTATTCAACTCCTCTTTAATAAACATTGATGGAGTCTTTTGGAGAACTGATCAGTTTGTACCATCGTCACAAAGAAAAAAAGCCCTTTGTGAGAACAAATATCTTTCTATCTTTTCATATGTATGTGTAGATAAGACCTGTGGGCAGGCAGGGGGGTGGGGTGGGGTGGGGTGGTGTACTGTCAGAGATGAAATAGAAGACCATGCTCAAATTTGTAAGAATATTCCACAATGCTTCTGCTAACATTTTGGAGACAAAATTGCATCAGTTGCTTAGCGTTTACAACACTCTCAATTTCAGTAAAACACGCTCAATTTCAGACTATCAGGTGATGGACACATCAGACTGTCACGTGACTGCCCAACATTCATTTTCTATTTCTCCCTTATTAACAAAACTTCAGTTCTCTTGGCAGCGGTTCAGCTCTCCCCTCAATCAGAAACTACATTTCCATTCTTCCAGTGTGGGAGAACATGCAACATTTTGTCAAATGAAACAGAAAAGGAGTGTATGAGCACAACATTTGGAAAATCTATAGAACGAACAGCAGCCCAAGACCCAAAGTATTTCTCGTTCTTCTTTGCATTGAAGCCACCATCTCAGGCCTGAAGGGTCTCAAAGGACAGAAGACTGGTTTGCCATGCCAATTAGAGCAGATTTTATTTTTTAAATTCATCTTTAAGCAATCTAGAACCACATTAACCCTCAAATGGAGTATCTGCCTACAAATAATCATTATTCCTTAAAAAATACAGCTACTATTAACATGTAATCAACTCAATCCCCTTAAAGGTACTATTTCTTTCACTATTTCTTTCTTTAGTTGGTTTGTTGATGTGGGGGCCAGAGATTTATTTCAAGGCCTCAAACATGCTGGGCAAGGGTTTCCACCTGTCAGCTACATTCAGATTTCTTCAAACAGTTCCCCTTAAAAGTATCTCTCTAGCCGGGTGGTGGTGGCACACGCCTTTAATCCCAGCACTAGGAAGGCAGAGCCAGGCGGATCTCTGTGAGTTCGAGGCCAGCCTGGGCTACCAAGTGAGTTCCAGGAAAAGGCGCAAAGCTACACAGAGAAACCCTGTCTCGAAAAACCAAAAAAAAAAAATAGAGACTAGATGATGGAAAACTCATTTAGTCCATCTCTTCCAATCAGAGAACTGGTCCTTGTGGTAGACACA